TGCGTGGAACCTAGTTGGTTCTTATTAAAATGCTTGTTGCTTGTGTGCTTGAAACTCTGGCCTCCTGTAAGATTCGAGGTTTTAACACCACATTCTGAAGGAAGCCATTTCTGTCTAGGTAACCCCCCATTCCATGCCTTTCTTTGTAAGGTTACCTTAAATCATCTATTTAATTATCTTGTAAGTACCTATTTGCATATGTTATTGTGCCCCCCTTCCCCTCATCCCAATTTGATTGTAAGCTTCTTGTGGACAAGGATAGCACTTAGCACAGTGCTGAGCCCACAAAGTCCTTGATAAATGTTTGATAACTGAGTGAGATTAAAATCATGCCTATAGCCTTGAAATCCTAGCTCAGATGCCATGTCCTTAATGAAAAGTAATAATAACTTGCATTTATTTAGCTCTTTAAAGTCTACAGAGCACTTTCTCCTGAACACTCCAGTACAAAGTGAGCGTTGACCTCCAGTGTGTTTTTATAACATTTTATTGTTTATGTCTTGTGATAGAGGAACTGGAGATGCAGGAACATTTTGCTCCAGAATACTTTCAGCCCTCATTTTGTCTGTCCTAGTGCTTTAATCAACTGGAATTCTGTTTCTAAGAAAAGATAATTTCAGTTCACATTGAAAGGTTTCTTTTTATGTAGATCGAATACATTTGCAGCTAATTTTCCCAAGGGGCAAATCTAGGCTTAAAGGATGAATGGGATCAAGAAGGGTTTGGGTTAATAGTGGAATGTGAGACCCGTAACAGAGGATTGTGGGGGCGGGGTAACCTTTGGATGCTGATGTCATCAGATTTGACCTTGACTTTTTTATGAAATAGACTTTTTCCAAAGACACAAACTGGTTTTGCACAGGCTGTTGCATCTCACTGCGTGTGGCATTTCTTGTGTTTAGTGGAACATCAGATCACTTCAGGAATGCAGATAATGTCACTTCTCTCAAGCTGTCATCGGATGCTATCACTCAAATAACAACGGAGAGTTCAGAAAAGACCACATTTTCATCAGAGATTATTATTAATTCTCAGTCTCACAACATCCTTAACAAGCCATCTCATTGCCCAACTGGTAAGAAAGCTTGATTTTGTTATGTGTGTACATTTAAATGTGAAATCTGTTTGTATGCATACATAATGAGTAGACCAACTGTTACACTTTGGAGTCATCCTGGAGATTTGTGATGACCAGGGCAAGAGAAACTTTTAAGTTTATCTTATCGTTTTTGTGGCTTTTAAAAGTTGGCAATAAAATCAAATTTTAAGAATAATAGGATCTATTGTGCTTTTTTGAATCTTAAGTTTTTTACATTATTAAGAGAATGTGATTTATTCATTCTGTTAGTGTTGGTCATCCCTCAACATGAGATCACAGATCACTGAATACCAGGATTGGTGATAATCTTGTATTTAAACAGTTTATCAGTCATTCTTGTGTTTGGTCTTTCTGTGATTCATTTCAGTTGGATTTGACAAACATTTATTAAGTTTCTATTTGGTGCAGCACTGTGCTAGGGATAGAAAGACAAAAAAATCTGAACCTTTTGTATCCTGCAGGAACTTAGATTACTGGGGATATAACGTGCACAGAAATAAATAAATAAATGCATAGGAATTTCGAGAGAGAGTACTTGTGACTTCTTGCCTATACGTTACCATTAGAATGATGCTGTAGTCTCCTTCCACACACTGTGTACCTCTCCCTTGCCCTTTGGGCCTCCAGCAATTCTCCCTCTCTAGAGATCAGACAGCATCCATGGGAACATGTTGTTTCTGCTGGGGGAGCATCTTGTGAGGTGTTGAAAGTCCTGAGCCGCTTTCCAGATGCCATCCTGCTGCTCTTTTTTTCCTTTTCAGTGCGTCTCATTTTCTTGTCTATTAATGAATTCTCTGTCAGTGGATTTAGATCTGCTTGATTGCTTGTACTCAGAGGCATTGTGAATGTGGCAGGAGATGTGCCCTGGTATACCCCTGGTGCCTGTGCTTGGCCTGGGACCATTGAACATTTTTTATCCGTGACTTGGATTAGGGCATAGATGGCATGCTCATCCAGTTGGCAGAGGGTGAAGAAGTTGCCATTATCCGGAGAGATCTTGAGTGGCTAGAACTGTGGGCTAAAGGAAAGAAAACATACCTGCAGCAGGGACACATGTGTGCTGTTACACCAGAGTCCCCCAAAATCAACTTCACAATTTGTCAGCTGGAGCAGGCTTGGTTAGGAAACAGAAAAAAATCTGAAGAAAATCAAGGAGTTTGTTTTAGTAAGCTGCAGGGTCAACCTGAGCTAGCAGTGTGATATGGAAACCCAAAAAGCTAATGGCTCCTTGGGCTAGATAAAAGGCATGGTTGCCAAGGAGAAGGTGGTGATGTTCCTCATCAAATCCATTGAAAGAGAAGCTGGAGAATGTCCAGAGGAGGACAGGCTGGATAGTGAAGATAATATCCTACGAGGATCAGTTGGAGGAAGTTGGGATGTTTAGTCTGCAGAGAGAAGACTTGGAGCAGGGACTACCTCCTGCCTGTAAGAATTATAGTTGGACAGGCCTCCGAGATCCTCTAGGCCACGCCCCCTCTTCCACAGACTCCATCGGTGAAGTGATAACCGTAGTCACCCACATGGGCAGTGGCAGAGTTGGGAGTCAAATCCAAGGCCCGGCGCTCCAGATTGGTCACTTGTTCATGGGCTTCCTTAGATGGACTTGTTTGTGAAATCTTTTGGTGCAGTGTGGTAGAGGATTGTGACAAGTATTCATTCATCACAATGGGAGATATGGTAGAAGGGAAGAATTTGAGGATGTATTTTATCTTCGTATCATGGGAGAGGGAAGAGTTATTTAGGCAGAAAGACTGTGAGACTGCGAGGACCTAAGCTTATGCATAAACCTATAACTCGTAGACCGGTGATCATAGAGATGGGAAATGTAAGAAATGATTTGTCCTAGTTTCCTAGGTTAGGAAGTTGAGACCAGTAATGGCTACAAATTCAGAAAAATTTAAATGCAGGAGTAGGGTCCTTTATTCCTACATCCTCAGCATAGTAGGCTTAGTCTTGCCAGGTGGCTGTAACACTGTAAATCATTTTTGGTTCTCCTGGCATGGGCGGAGAGTTTTGCTGTGAAAAGAATATGTTGGACATGGTTGTAACAATATCAATACTATCAAGACTGTTGATATTGTAAGCCTAAAGGCACAGACTGACCCATCATAGGCATAACAAGACAAAATGCTTTGTTTGATTTCAGGTAAAAGTCCTAAATGTCTTTTAGAATAGCCATTTGTGCAGTAGAGGTCCACACTAATCAAAGAGTCTCATAGCCAGGCTCATGATCTACCAGGTGGAAATCTTTCCTGTTTAGAAAGGAAATCGCACAGTGAGGAAACTCAGTCAAGAGGCTTTACTTACCTCTGTAAGGCTGACTTCTCAGTTTTCCCAGCTATCTCTATCCATCTGGAGCATTTTTAGGTGGCGCTGCTTTTGAACAACTGTTGGCACTCTCCCTTGATGTGGAGTGCTGGCTTAACAATAATTCAAGATTATACCTGGAATCAATACTTAGAGAAATTGAAATTAAGTTCTAAGAGATTCCACATTTCAAACACAACTGTTCTACCACTTACAGTTAAGAGCAGGGTGCAGTCGTTTCTCATGTTAACATCAAAATCAGTAAGTTCATGATAAATTACAGTTAGTAAAAACATTTGTCCATAGTACTTACTAAGCCTATACAAGGCTCTGCTAAAAGCTTTGAGTCCCCCCCCCCCTCCCCCCAGTTTAATACGTCCTGGTGCACAAGGCAGTCATTAGAAATTAAGAAAATAATCTCATTTTGGGAATTTTCACAGATGTGAATGCGTGATAAATGCACTCAGGATCCAGAAACGATTGTTTGTTGTTAGTCTGGACGTCTTACTCTCTAATCAATCTCTATGGGCAAAAGAAAACGACAGAACCAGTTCTTATAAACTGGAGTCTCTTGATCCCTAGGTAGCTCGAAGATGTAATCCTAACGTACACCAATTGATTTGTAATCTGTCCAGTTAGTTTTGATAGATATCATAATGAGTAGTTAGACAGTTCATCATATAAATCATTACTTTAAGCTAACTTTCAGTCAGTTGGTGGTGCCATAGTACACAAAGTGCTGGGCCTAGAATCAGGAAGCCCTCTGTGACCCTAGGCAGGTCACTTAACCTCTGATTGCCTTAGCCTTCTCACTGTAAAATGGAGATCAATTAAATTTTCTATTTGTATTGCGTTTGATAACCTCCGAGGGTGGTTGTGAGGATCAGAGTATGCGGATCACACAAGCACGCACTTAATAAATTCCTTTCCTTCCCCTGCCCCCCATCCATCTGTCTGCATTTTCCCTTTTCTTTTCTTTTCTTTTTTTTGGCTGCAGGTTAATGTGTGCTGGGGGTTGAGGGCAAGCTTAGTTCCACCATAAACCAAATTATTATCATATATTCTTGCAGCTTCCTTCACAAAGCTGGTAAGATTTTATAACTTGCCAAGGTCAAAAATCCAGGTGACCTGGCAGCTTGTCACAGAACTTCACAGTTATTAATGAGACTTTCCAGTGGCTTTTGTAATTCCCCAAATACCAAACAAATGTCATTATGTTTTTTAAAAAACCAAGATATACACCCTTGAATACTTAAGACAATCTTTAACTAGAAGAGTACTGTCTTACAAAGATCTCCAACAATTGATACTCAAATTCATAATTCAGCATTCAGATCAAAGAAGGAGCCATCCTCCTAATGTTACAAATACTTTACTCTGTAGGCATCATTCCACAAATGAACAGCACTCCTATACAATGGTTTCCCAAAATCACAGTATAAGAAATTATAAGCACAATGTTAACTTAAAACAATATCATAGATTTAAGACATACACACAAAACTTATTTCCAGTTTAATTACATTGATCTATTTGAATCTGTCTCTTCAGTCTTACATGGAAATACCATTTAATTTGTCTACCATTTTGGGCCTTCTATATGAGTTCACTTCAGAGATCAGTGTAAAATAGCAGTTACCATTCAGAAAACTGTTCAAGGAGCAGAAAGGTGGCGCAGTGGATAGAGAACCGGCCCTGGAATCAGGAGGACCTTAGTTCCAATCCAGCCTCAGACACTTGACACTTACTAGCTGTGTGACCCTGGGCAAGTCACTTCACCCCATTCCTTTGCCCCCCCCCCCCAAAAAAAAGAGTTTGTCAACGCACGGCCTATTTTGATTA